TATATATATGTATATTTTAATTAGGGGGAAACTATTCTTAAGCTTTGCCTCATTCAGAAAAGGATGCGAACTGTGAATAACCACATATTTAGGACTACTGAAGAACTTTTAAAAAGTTATTCAGGAAAGATTCTGCTGGGTTCTCATATGAAAAGAAACATCATTTTTATAATGTCAACAACAATAGCTATGGCCTTACTGCATGAGAAATGTAGGGTACTTCATAAGAAAAGTTAGGAAGTGAAGCTAACTGTAACAGAAAGTGAAACTGATTTGACGAATTTTTTTTTCTGTTGCCTCAGTGCAAACGGAACACAGCTTCTCCAGTGACCAATCTGTGTTAAAGGAAGTAACCCCAACAATGTTTTTATTACTAAATTTAATATATATCAGAATCCACTGATGTTATTTTTATTATTATTTTGCATTTTAAAGATAATTTTCTGGGGCAGATATATTTCATGCAAATTTTACTTCTGTTTGAGAAATTTCTTTTGGAAAGAACAAAGGTATACTAAAAATGTAGGGTTAGTTGTTGGTCAGAAAACTCAAGGCCTTTTTCAACTTACCCTCCAGCTGAACGTGTTGCAGTTACAGTATACTGTCAGGGAGTTTAAAAAAGATTTGTGCGACTTCACTTCTGGACCTTTCTGGTATGAAATATTTTTAATTTCTCAGAGCTCTTTGCTTCTTTAGGAATTGCAATGTATTCGGTAGGGAATGAGCTTGGTTGCCTCTGAGATCGGAATTGACTCAGGAAATTACTATCTGTTTTACCAGGAATTAGTTGCTTGGTAAAGTGCTGTATGATGCAAGTACTCTGTGTCTGCTTAGAGTGTTAACAGTGCTACAGAAATGCCAGGTTTGTTTCATAAATATGCCTGTTCGTTAGAATAAAGGGTGTTCTTATGTTTTTCTATTTCCAAGATGCCAGTAATGGTGAATTAGTTGATCAAGGAATCCAAGTTGATTTTCAATTAAAATTTCCTGATGAAGGCATTCTTAACTCTTAAATGGCTACAGTACGATGCCATATTTGGGGAATAGTTCGCAAGTTCTTTTAGGCACCAAATGATTGTTTTAAAAAAGTTTTGAAAACACATGTATCTATTAGATGTTAGCAATGTATAACAGGCTTCAAGTAGGAGAGATATTGGGAAGTTGAAATGTATAGTTTCTTATTAAGGACCTTAGTGAGTTTCTCATTCTAGCTACCCATTACTTCATGTTGCATTTTTCATGTTGATTACAATGAGTTGCTTAGAAATTGTTTTATTTATTCTGCCCATCTATCAGAAGTAATAGATCTTTTCTGATGAGAATTTTGAGTCTGTGTATTTTCACTGTTACTGTTTAATAAGAATTAATAATCGAAGGCAACACTATCTTCCCTCTAAAAGCAACCTTTAAATTTCTTAAAGTTAGTAAATGTTTAGTGGGCAACTCTAATTCCCTATTTGCTGAGAATTTTCTATATTGGAATTGAGAAGACTCCCCTTATAGAGGGGATTAGGTATGAGGTAGCCTGCAAGAAATGGCATTATTCTGGAGAACCTGTGCATTCTTCAATAACGGAGTATTTATTTCCTCATGCTATTTGCCTACCTAGAACTCGCAGAAAATAAGGCTGCTGACTGATGTAATGCCTTTATGAATATGCATTCTCTATGCAATAAATTGGAAGGAAATAACTTAAAGAGATTCCCCTCAATTTTGAATGGACCTCCTTAGCTTGAATGACTGACCTTCTGCCAGTTTAGCAGCTTCTTGGCTAACAAAATAATGCTTGCTTTCAACATTTAACAATACTTAAGATACGTGTGCTTGTTAGTGTCAGAGATGGACAAATTGTAGGTGAAGATTTTTATTCTGGCTGCCAGTATGGAAAGTTTGGTGGAAATAAAACTGAGAGGCAGAATAAAAACCTTGGCAGAGATGTCAAAGCTGGAAGCGATTTGGTGCTGGAGTTCCTGTTGAGCATCTGTGGGCCACTCTTCAGTACCGTGCAGCCTTTTAGTATTCCTGTTAGCTTGGGACGCTCTGAAGGAAGAGTTTTCTGGCAGAAACCACAAATCCCGTGTACTTGAAAAGCAGCAGCCATTGCTCCTGTAGGATATAGAAGAGAGGTGTTTGGGGGCCTGCTGTGCTGCCCAAGAATACCTCAGTTGTCTCCTGGAATTTGTTTGGTACGACCCATTTTCATAATCAAATAATCTTTCTCAGTACAGGTGAGAGAAAGCTGGCTCATCAAAGTTGAGCTTTAGTTGTTCAAGACACAATTGTTTGGCCCTTTTTTAAATTAAAAACAAAACTAGTTTTAAGTTTGTAGGAGGATCTCAGATGCCTTATCCTGGGATACTTCACCCAGTTTTTGATTCTCAACTCTGAAACCTTGGCCCTTTCAAAAAAGGTTGCCAGCAAGTGAAGATAGTTAACAAAGCAGTGATAAGCCTGGTAACAGGCCTTCCATTTGGATGAATTGGTTGGGGGGTGAGGGGTTGCAGTGTTATCTGGCTGGATGGATCTGTGGCTTGGAAATGTTTCCAAAACAGAATTCTCTGCTTTGTGTAAAGGTTTTTCATATGTGCTTTTAAGCCATTAGTTCAGAGTTGCCTGGAATTGGGCATGTTCTTCATTAAAAAATAAAAATAAAAATTATTGATTGATTTAAGAGAGAGTGACCGACATGGTTGTAGTTCCACTTACTTATGCATTCATTGGCTGATTCTTGCATGTGCCCTGACCGGGGATCAAACCCACAACCTTGGTGTATCAGGACGACACTCTAACCAACTGACCTACCTGGCCAGGGCCCATTCTGCGTATTTTTAACTTGCTCTTTCAAATGAGGCTTGGGGAGGAGAAAAATACATCATTGCCGTTGTCTCTGAGAGCTTTAAAGTTGACTTTGGTTAAGTGTAGCTGCTTGGGGATGGATATGGCAACAGGGATTGGGCTAAGATTCCACTCTTCTGCTAGTTAAATTGGACCTGGAACCACCACAGAAATTCCATCCACTACTTTGAGAACAACAGTCCCCAGCCCAGGCTTTCTACCAGGCAGTAGACTGCTGCCTTTCCTTGTTGAGCCAACTTCTCAAACTTGGCTGGCTCCCCAGATGAGAAGCCAAGATTTCTGCTGATGGTCCTCAGCCAAGTTCACTTACAATCCTCTAACCGAAAGACTTGTCCATTTGAGTCCTTTCAGGGCTCAGTGAATGGGAAGGGGGTAGTGTATTGTGGGCATGAATTTGGTGTTAGATTATACTCAACTCCATCCCTCTAGTGTAGGCCTGAGCAAACCAAGTTTACTTGATTCTAGCCTTTTGAGATTTGCAGGGCTCTCCCAGAAAGAAAACAGACAATTAGAATTTTATTTGTATCAACAAGAGGGATTATGGGTAACTCTGGTGTCACTGTTTCTGTGCACAGCTCTTAAGCTGGGAGGAGGGCCAGGAATCAGGGTGATTTAGTAGACCAGAGTATCTTGGGCTGCTGCTGGAGACCAAAGCTGGGCGATTAATTTGCATGTAAATAAGCCAGCTTAGGGAGTATGTAGCAAACACAGGAGAGGCAGATAGAAGCCAAATGCCATCTCTCAGCCTTCTAAACTCTGTAGATATAGTCCAAGTTAGAACTTACTTACCTGTATAAGTGACTAGAGAGAACAGTAGGTTAGAAAAGGACAAGGCACTTAAATATGTTTAATTCCTTCGAGCTATTTCATACTGCTATTCGAGGCATCTGCAATTTTCTGCCCTAATGTTGTATGATACAGTATACTACCTCTAGCCTCAGGGAATCTTTCTAAGCTTGATCTTCCCTCAGATTCCCCATAAATTCCTTATATCACCGAAGTTCAGCAAACACTCATTTTACAGTGAATTTAGACTTTAAAAAATTAGGAGGGCCTTAGTAGCGCTCCATGCCTCTGCCCTAAAAGTGAGTGCTGCGTTCTGGAGAACCAAGGCTGTGATGGGAACCATGTGTCTAATTCAGCAGAGCTATAGGTGAGGTGTTGTGCTTGAGAGACTAGGAAGTAACTAAAATTACCACAGATGCTCCCAGCCTCCTCTTCCTCTGTAATGACTCAGACTTTTAGGATTAGATAATAGAATTTCAGGTTCTTTCATTCCCACATCTTGTCTAATACAAGGATTCATTTGAGGCTTTCTTGTGCTGATTATTTACTCTCGTTGCTCCATTTTTAAAATTCCTGGTGTTCTGTCTGGGTTGATTAAAGCTACCTGAACTTCCCTTATACAGACTTGCTCCTTAGGTTAGCTCAGTGCACCCTTGCGTATTAAGGTAAAATTCTAAGTGTATTATTTTCCATAATTCCCAAGGTGTAGAAAGTTCTTGCTTAGCTGCAGTGAGCATTTGTGTTCCATTTGGAGGGAATGCACCTTTAATGGGGACCTGCGGAGCTCTTGCAGTGCTCTCCAGCCATTCCTGATTGGTTGGCAGTCTTCACCCCTCTCCAGCTGATTGTTCTTGTTCTTTTGTGAGTCTAAGCAAGGCAGGATAAAGACTTTGGCTTGTGGGTATTTAGGCGCTGCCAAATAAGCATGACCTGCCACAGGTGCCCAAGGATATTTGTTCAGAGCCCTTACCTTTCCGTCACAGCATGTGTGAGGGGAAGCCTTTGGCAGGATGGCACCCTGGATCCACTTTAAAAAGATAGGGTCTCAGAATGCAGTTGGGGTCTAGATCAGCTTTGTCAGAATGATCTCAGAGTCATGTTTTCGGGTTTTTCCAGAGGTTTTAACTTTAGCGAGCGGGAGACCACAACAGACTCGTGCTGATGGGTTTCACATGGAAAGAAGCATGGCACCAATGCCCTAATTCCCATCCTGGGCACCCACCATGGGGAATCGCTGACTTACAGTGGGGGCGATCACACCTTATGAAAGGGCCCACTGGCGCTTTTCCTGGGTCAACCTCCCAACCATGGGTTGGCGGCTTTTCTGTCACATAAGTAAGTTATGGGGAAGACTGATGTAGGAGAGTCACACTTTGTCCCCTTGAATAACTTTTACTTTACTTATGCATGAGCTGGATGCATCGAGCTACTTTGGATGTTCCTGTCACAAGGCTTGCTCACCCTTTTTCCCCCTTTAGCAGAGCCTAATTCTGGAGATTCCTAACTGCCCACCTCGACAAATCCTTCCCAGTCCATTCACCAGGGACTGCGCTGACAGCATATTCTTCCCGGCTGTAACCCACTCACCTGTACCACACAAAAGGAATGACGTTGCTAATATGCTCTTTCTTCTAGGCTGACAAACGGGCTCATCATAATGCACTGGAACGAAAGCGTAGGGACCACATCAAAGACAGCTTTCACAGTTTGCGGGACTCGGTCCCATCACTCCAAGGAGAGAAGGTGAGTTTATTGAGAAAGCTGGGTGGCCATCGCTAGGTGGTACTTGGAGTGGAGCTTACTAGTAGCAGCACACTCACCTATCTGGAAAGAAATGGAGTCAGGTTTAAGACACCAGTAGTAATTGTCTTTTAACTTAGTATTGTTTGTAATAAGTTACTCATTCAAGAATTATTATAACAATACACTGTCATATAAAGAGGAGCCCGTAGTAGTTTGGGATAACACTAAGGGTTCCTGAGGTCAATGATTCCCTAGACCTCCATGAAAATTTCTTTCGCATGGCTCCAAGTTAATACTTAAATGAAACCTCCCAAGAATGTAGGTGGATCAGCTTGGACACCAGTGATTTCCCCATTCCAACAGCTGTTATTTCAAAGGCTGGTAAAGAGCATTTTAAGCTGTGGGACAAAAAACTTAGGTAAAGAGCTATATTCATATGAAATGGAAGAAAAAAATTATTGATTTTCCTCCCCCGTCCCCTGTTCCGCGCTCCCCCTCCCCCCAATTGGTGGCATTCCAGAAATTAACGTTTTCCCTGGAGAGGGAGACACCAGCTTATATTTGAAAACGTTGGAAGCTTTGAGTAAAAAGCCTATGGGTTAGGGTCACTCCTTGGGATTTGGAAGAAACATCTGTTTGCACAGTTAGTTCCATCCTTGACACAGAATGTAGCTGGCCGCTTCTGCTGCAATTCAGTGGTAGGTAAGTGTCAAACTCGGAAGAAGACCTGTGTTGGTTTGTGTGTGTGTGTTTAAGGAAACGGTGTTAGAAAAGATGTCTGCTTTGAATGTGTCTCCTCATGGAGCTCTGTGGGTGGGAGTCCTGGGTTTCCTTGGTTATCCAGTCAAACCTGGAACCATCATGGTTTCATTTTGTATATACTGCCACTCTGCTAAGTCATATACTTTATTCCCTGTCTGAGGTGTGGCTTTCTATGTGGCTGAAGCATGGGGTAGGTCTGACCTTTATGAAAACAATAAAACAGGCCATGTGAATACCTAGTATTGCAAAACCAGAATTTGCTGTGGGTTAGACCTACTTAGTATAGACATGGTTTAATGGCCTTGGACCAAGGTTCTTACCTGGAATAACAACATTCCTGGGCGCAACACTGTCTAAAGCACCACAGGAGATCTTTATGATGGGGACAGAGACTAACCCTTTTAGTCAAAGTACACACGTGCAAAGGATTATCTTCCATGCGTGTCTGAATTGTTGACAGTTAGTGCTTATTCATATGCCATGGTATCACTTAACATGGCGTTGGTGAACTGAATGGACAGAACTGCCTTCTCCTTTAAGTCTCACATCTAACCAGGAGTGGTGCCAAGGCAGTGTTTCCCAAGATGTCCTGTGGACCACCCACATCAGAATCACTACTAAATCTGCCTCTCTGGAGGCAGACCTGGGATCTCTAACAAGCAGTCAGCTGATTTTTAGGCATTCTTAAGTTAGAGAATACTTTGGGGGAAGCAGGTCACAAGAGCTCAACTATGCCTTTTTTCTTTATCCAGCTTGTTTTATATTGCTGTAACATTCTTCCGTAAGTTCTTAAAACCACATTATCCTAAATCCTGTTGTCTCCTTTCTTCAAGGAAGTTGACGGTTTGAATTTGGTAGCCTTACACACTGAATAGTTTGTCATTCATTGTGGCCTACTCGTTTATTTATTTATTCACTCAATTCAGCAAATATTAAGGGTCTGCTACATGTCAAGCACTGTTCTAGAATACAGCAGTGAACATACAGGCAAAAATAGAAGCTCTTAACCTGGTGAGGAAAAGATGGAAAATGAACTAATAATTGAAAATATATATAGTATATCAGAAAAGTGCTAGGAGAAAGTTGAACAGGGAAGGAATGGTTGCAGTCTTCATTAGGGCAGACAAGAAAACTCACTGTCAAACAACATTTGAGCAAAGATTTGAAGAAAGTAAAGGAAAGAGAACCATGCATCTACCTGGTGATGAGCATCACAGGCAGAGGGAAGGTGAGTAATAGCCCAAAGGCAAGAACCTGGGAGCATTCCTGGGCCCAGCAGGGAGAAGGGGGCTAGATTGGAATGAATAAAGGTACGGGGGCAGGAGATAAGGTCAGAAGTAGAAGACTTGTGGAGGGGAGTGGTCGAGGGACCAGGTTGCGTAGACCCAATCATCTAAGCAATGAAATTTACACGTGCCTTTCCAATTTCAGAATCCTGCCCTGTGTTTCAATCCATATATTTCACACTGAGCATGAATAAAGGAACTGGTTGTTAGCTAAATTCCACAATCTTCATTAATCTCCTTGTCTGCCAACACTGTTTCACAGATCTACAGGGAGTCTTACAGAATACTTTGGTCTCTCGACTTCCGAGTTCTCACTAAATGTTGCAATTTTTTTTTAAATGTGGTATTTGACCCAAAGGAAATTGGCTAATTCTTGATTTGGATTGCAGTAATTAAGGTTATGACATTATGTGAATAATCATGAAATGATTATTTTACCCTGTTTTAGGGATCTTAGGTTCTTTTTTGTTGTTGTTAATCCTACCTGAGGATATTTTTTCCATTGATTTTTTTTTTTAGAGGTGGAGGGGAGAGGAAAACATCGATATGAGAGAGACACATCGATTGGTTGCCTCCCGCATTCCCACAGACCCAGGCCAGGGATCGAACCTGTGACCCTTTGGTGAGCGGGTCAATACTCTAACCACTGGCCAGGGCAGGGATCTTAGATTCTTGAAGGAAAAACCTCTAGTCTCCTTTATGACTTCTCATTTAGTATTTGGACTATCTGTTATGTGTCCTAGCTTTTTGTTTTTTTAAAGAGAAACCAATACTTACTGAGTTTTATCCTAACCAAGAATGGGTGGCACTTGTATTAAAAAAAGTTTTATGTTTGAGACCCAGACTCCATTATCCTTTGTACCCTGTATTTCTACTATAACATAAACATAAAGAATGGTCACCTTTTGCTTAAGTAAAAAAAATCTGCTAACTAACGTGTATTGCAGTGTAAAGTTAAATCAGTATAGCAGTTCTATGGTGAGTATTATACTGCTATTGTAATTGGACAATTAGTACTGTTGCTTGCTTCTGCCATTATTACTATATCAGAGGTAAGGAAAGTGGCTCAAAATCATGATTCCATGATTAGGGGACTAGAACTAGATCATGAACAGGGACTAGAACTCAGGACTGCCGATTGCCAAGTTTTATTTTTCTACCATACCATAGGCCCAATTTAAGGATATAGGTGCTTCTCGGCTTATGATAGGGTTTTGTCTTGATAATTTTTCATGTCAAAAATGTATTTAATACACCTCATCTACCAAACATCATATGTTAACCTCACCTACCTCAAATATGAACACAATATCCCCAAAATGCTGGCAACACAGTGCACTATAGACTATCCATTATTTACCTCGTGATCGTGTGCCTGACCGGGCACTGTGACTTGCTGCCACTGCCCAGCAGCATCACGAGAGGGTATCAGTACTGCATATCGCTACCCCAGGAAAAGATCAACGTGTATCATTTTCACACCATCACAAAGTTGAAATATCGAAAGTCAAACCATCATAAATCAGGGACTGTCTGTATTTTAAAGAAAATTTGCTTAAGTACTTATATCTTGTTTTTATATTGGGAGCTTCCCCTGGATCAAGGCAGTAATTTTGGCAGTATGTCATACCAAGCCTGCTGCTGAGATACTCCCCCTGAATTGGCATATGTCAGTAACACTGAAGCACAGAGAGTTGGAGATCATTTAAAGTTCATAAATTTTTCTGTGTCCATATAGCTTCTCTGAGAAATAAACCATTATAGTTGGCAGCCCATTTGGGTTTTCCCATAGTGTTAGCAAATGGACTCTTGAACTCTATTGTCTTGGTTTTATTTCCCGTGTAGTTTTTCAGCTGGGCATCCCGCTGGGATGGAAGGGATGATATAAGAACCATCAGCCAGTCAACCAGAGTAAGGGGAATAAGAGCAAGAACAATTGTGGATCCATTTCTTATAGGAAGACATTACTGTTCTTGAATAGAATTATTCTTTGTTTTTAGAGTCCTAGGTTGGGTACTAAGGAGTGTTGCCCAAAGGTTGCTGGCACTGAGCTCACCCTGTTTGTGTGTGGGGCCAGATCTGGTGGGCAGCCCAGGAGTTTGCCTTTACCTAGGGATATAATTCTGCCTGCCACTCCCATCAGTTAGCCCCATCACCCGAACCAGAGTTACAACCAATTATAATGTCTCCTTAGCATGGTTGACCTTAGTGAGAGAAGGTTCTGTGTCAACATTGTCGTTAGTAGCTGGACAGTGGTTTATAGAAATTTCTCATCTGTAAGTCTCTTGTTAACTGCCTGTTATCATACTTAATTGCTCTGCCAGGCAGTTGTGCTCTGGATTTCTCCTTTCTAGACAGAGCTGTATTAAAAAGAGGGAGCCCTGGCCGGTGTGGCTCAGTTGATTGAGCGTCATCCTGTGCACTGGAAGGTTGTGGTTCGATTCCTGGTCAGGGCACATGCCCAGGTTGTGGGTTCAGGCCCCAGACACGGGAGGCAACTGATGTTTTTCTCTAAAATCAATTTAAAAACATATTTTTTAAAAATTACTTTAAAAGAGAGAGAATATGACCTAAAATGAAAATAAAGAAAAACAAGGAGCAAGCATTAAGTTCAGAATTTCTTCATTTGGGGTGAGAACCTGAGGGCACTCCTATCACAGACCCTGGCACATGGCAGTTCCCAGTAGGTAACTGTGGAATGAGCGCCAGAAGAAACAGTGGGCTTGCTTATCCCTTTAACAAAAACAGCAGCAGCCAACACGGTTGTGCTCACCTGCTTAATTAAGAGCCGTGTGAGTGCTATAGAGGTTTAAAAGGTATAATAGATAGTATCTACTCTTGAGGGTCTTGCTCTCTTGTTGGGAGAGACAATTATTCCTAACAATTAACAAATAATAAGGTAACATTCTGAGCATCAAATAAGAGGTTAAAACACTGAGCTCTAATCTGTTT